TGATGATCCTTTTGTATCGCGATATCATATGTCGAACATAAGGCATGGATAAGCCACCTTATCTGATTCGACTGCTTTCTCGTTCACTGAGTTCGGTTGTCTGAAATAGACGACGTTCGTCTATAGTGCGGCCATATATTTCTACAGTCTCGCTCACACGAGGGGCCCGGCGATATCTCTCTCTTTTACGAGAGGTATAAATCCCGTCTTGACTATCTACAATCCAACACATGATTCGTTTCGTACCTGATACACGCCTTTATAGTCCTCCTGTTACGTAGGACGTTTGATGTAATCAAAGTACGCAACTCCTCATGTTGGATTCTGTAGATATCTGAGGTTTAGGATCCAATCATGGAACCGTCATATGAGATTCAAGTCATGGCGCTAGTCCATGTGACAATCTCATGCGGGTCAATCCAGTATTTCGTTCTCCAACGAATACCTATGATTGTGATCGTATCCAAATACCTATGATCATCTATATGATCATCAATCACACATCATACTAGTCTTATTATGTCATCATTCCCATAATGACACAAGACTAGGGAGTTAAGTATCATTCATAATGATACATGGACTTCATAACACATCTAGTATGCAAGAACATGTAATGAATCAAATACTCTCATAAACCATAGAAAGTATCAATACATCAAATGTATCTAAATAAAGCTCATAAACAGTACATCATAGAGCACTAAAACAACAATCTCCCACTTGCTCTAATCATGAACTGCTAAACATCTAATGCCCATATCCCTAACATGACCCTCATGCTTCGACGAAGGGAGAGGCTTCGTCAACGGATCGGCAATGTTGTCATCTGTCGACACCCTACAAATGTGCACGTCTCCTCTGTCTATGATCTCCCTGATAAGGTGAAACCGTCTGAGTATGTGTTTGGATCGTTGATAGGATCTGGATTCTTTCGCTTGTGCGATCGCTCCATTGTTGTCACAATACAGAGCAATGGGGCTATCAGCACTAGGAATGACACCCAAGTCTCCAACAAACTTCCTGATCCAAACAACTTCCTTTGCTGCGTCCGATGCTGCAATATACTCAACTTCTGTAGTAGAATCTCCAACGGTCGCCTGCTTGGAACTCTTCCAGCTAACAGCGCCTCCATTCAAGCAGAAAACATAGCCAGACTGCGATCTGTACTCATCCGGGTCTAACTGAAAACTAGCATCGGTGTAACCTCTTACAGCGAGCTCGTCTTCCGACCCACCGTATACCAAGAACACATCCTTAGTCCTTCTCAAGTACTTCACACTACAAAAAAATCCTCGAATTCCAACGGATTTTCCAACGGATTTGTCCGTTGGAAAATTTCCAACGGATTTTCAACGGTTTTCAACGGCGTTTCAACGACGATTTCCGTTAAAATTCCGTTGAAAATTTCCAACGGGTAT